CTATAATAAATAAGAAATAAATAAATTAGAAATTAATCAAGGAATAAAAGATCAAATGCATCAAATAAAAAAACAAATATAAATAAAAATATCTAAATTAATAAAAAAACTAAACTTACTATAAATGACTAAATAAAACAGACAAATAAATAAAAAACAAAACTAAAATAATGCTAAATATAAATCAGAGAATCAATAAAAAATTGTAAGCAGAAAAATTTTATAATGAATTAAATAAATAAAATTCCTTTTTGATTTTTTCTTTGCATGTTTGCTGCTGTAAACCTGCAGGAAGCAGCTGGTCGGAACCGACCCGATCGCTGATCAGCGTCTGATTATCAGCATAACGAGTTTCCCTCGGCCTCCATCAGGCTGCTGAACAGAGACGGGACATCTGGACACTCGGCTGTCCAACACTCCACAAACAAGCTGCTACTGTTCAGAGAGAGCTCAGGTGACCTTTGACCTCCCTGATCACCGAGGCGGTACGATTATTGACTTTGTACTGGTTCTACTGGGACCCAAAGAGGCTGACGTTCCCATCGGATCTGGTTGGAGATCAGTAGAACTTCCAAGCTTTGCCACTCAAGTTGGACTTTAACTAGGCCATTCCACCACCTGAACTGGACCTGTTTGTCTTGCAATTATGCGACTAAAGTGACCTCTGACACATTTGGAGGTTGCCCCGGTTCCCCGACCCAAACATGAGGGTCTGTTGGGGTTTGAGGTTCTGAACCGTCTCCCTGCGGGACGCCGCTTAGCTTTAATGAGTTCGCTCATTACTCACAACAGAGAACCTGCTGGGATTCATTCAACAGGGTTTCCCCCCGACGGGACGCAGCTGCAGGGGAAACGTGGAGCAACACCGCGAAGATTTCAGCTAAAATGCTGCAACTAAGGCCGTTAACATGGAAACATTGTTAGAGTTTTACTGGAAAAACATTCCCAAGTATCTGGGAATTTATTCTGGTGTCAAAAAAATAACTAAAAATGAGCAGATTTCAAATGATGGTTTCATTTCTTATATATTAAAAAACAGAAACAAAACCAACTCAACCACAAGTTAAAAAATGTGATGGTTCAGTTTCACCAGGCCTGAAGAAATCACATGAACAGAACCTGATTGGCAACATGAAGTAGGCCAGAAGATCGTAAAGATCAAATACAATTCGATCTAACAGAATCACACAGATGAGAAACTAAATGATCTCAAATTGACCTAAAAACATGTTAATGATCCCAAAGACTTCTGGGAAATTATTCTGAAGGTAACAGCTGACGATCAAACTTTAAGATTAAGCTAACTGGGGTTATAATAATAATGAATAAAGTAATTAATTAATAAAAATAAATAAACAGGTCAACAGATAAATTAGTAACAAAATAAAAAGTAGAGGCTTAATAATAATAATCTACAATAAATTAATAAAAAAAATAATATAAAAAATTAAACTAAAAAATAAGATAAATGACTGAAAAATGCAACATTTTACAGTAAATACTACAGAAAAATCCAGCCATCAGTAAAAAAAAAACAACACTCTGGTGTTATGCAGTAAATCAACAATCGGTAGCTCTCCAGCAGATTCACCTACGAATAATTTTTAAAAACATTAACATGGTCTAGTCAAAGCCCTGAGCTAAACCCAATTTGCTTGGATGATTTGGGTCCTTAAACAGGCTGTTGATGGTAGAAAACCGTCCAATGTGTCTGAATTAAAACTATTCAGCAAAGCAGAGAGAGTTAAATTTCCTCCATAGTGAAGTCAGTCAGAGACTCATATCAGCTGTGAAGATAAGGGTGTCATTACTTTTTCCACACAAGGCCAAGTTGCTTTGATGGCTTTTAATAAGTTACTTAAAGACTCAAAACATTTAAATTTGACAAGAAAAAAAAAAGCAAAAACAGGAGAAACCTGAGGGTGTAAATACTTTCTCACAGCTCTGTAGCTCTTAAAAATCTGAATCTCATTAGGAATAAAGAAACTCTTGATTAATTTAATCAGACCGTTGAACTAATCTTTGGTGAACAGAGCATAGCTTTGAAACTGGAGAGAAATGAACAGATATGAGCAGAAAATGTGATATTTTCTCTTAAATCTAAAATAAAATGAACTTTTTTGTCTCTTCTTAATCATAAAATGATAAAATTCTTAACTTAAAGTTAAGTTTAACTACCTTAAAGGTCAAGACTTCCCTCTTTAGTCATCAGCTGTGCTTCATAACCAGTGATGCTGTCTGGCTTTAGAGACTTCATCAGTTTCAGGGATCAGCAGGAAGCATCAGAGCTGAAGGAAAACCAGAGAGGAAGGAAATCCTCCAGGAGAAACCAGAAGGAAAGACGGACGGAGACGAGAGCAGAAGGACTCACCGGCAGTAGAAGCAGTCTCCTCCGTCTCTGTTGGCTCCAGTCTGAGTTGGACCGACCCGGTCCTTCGGTTCTAACAGGAGGGCGGGTTCTGCAGCCCAACAGGAGGAGGAGGATTTGTTTCAGCAGACCACACCTCTGTGACAAACACAGTGACTCCATCATGTTCAGGTTTTTTAAAGTTCTTCAGTTCTGGACCGGCTTTATACACGGTTTACCAGCTCCTGGTTCATGAGATGAACTCTCAGTTCATTTCAGGAAGGGTTGATCACATTTATTGTGGATTTGAAAAAGTTTTCTAGTAGATTTCTGTACCAATGTTTGTCAGTTTGATCCACATCCAGAGGTTCTGGGATCTTTGTCCAGTTGGAAAACCCAACTGTGTCTCTGTGTGTCACCTGACCGTCCAACCTCTTGCTGGAAGAAATGTAAGATGATTTCATACCTGATGGTTCAGCAGACTTCATCCTGTTGGGGACAAAATTGCAACATTTGTTCTGATTTCACCTGCTGGTGTTTGTTTCACACTCCATTGTTTCAAACCAGCCAAACCTTTTAAAAAATCTGTTACCCTCCTCGCCTGGGGGGGGCGCTGCACCCAAACCTCAGAAGAAGACAGTGATAGCAACTTTCTTCTTTGCAAAATGTGAATAAAAACAAAGTAGCATCATATTTTAATAGTTATAGATTTTCTCTTGTTTTTGGTAAACAACCACGAAACATTTCTCCTGCTAATGTTAGACTTGCACATTTGTTTTTGCTGTTTTTACCCAGAATGCCCTGTGCTGTCGTCTGCTTCCTGCTTTTGGCAGCAATTGAAAATGCTGCTGCTTGGTCTGAATCAAGACCTACGGTTTGATCACCCATTCATGCCTCCCCAACATACTGTAAGCAAAAACTTAAAACCTAAACTCTAATTTTAAGAAAATCACAAAAATGAAATATTTGGTAAAAGCCAAGATGACAGTCTGCTGCATCCAAAGTGGACAAAGAAGCATTAGAGGAGATCCTTCCTCTCAGCAGATGCTGGACTCTATAAACATTTCTGCTCCCAACTCATGAAGTGTTTACAATCTTGATGTTATTTTCACAATTTCAGACATTTTAATTATTTTTGCTGCTGTTAACATGCTTTTTCAGTTTTTATTTTTCACATATTGTAAATAGTCTGTTGTCAAACACATATTATATAAGCACTTTCTTTGAAAAAGTAATCCTGCTCATCCCTGGGATCTGACACCATTTCTGCTTTCTATACATCATGGACGTGATGAAGCTCTTTCCAGACAATCAGTATCTGGAAAGAGACTCTGTTCCCCAGAACCTCTTTCAGAAAACACGATGGTTCAGATCTGGACAGAAATAAACATTAACCAGCAGCTGACATGAACACAGATCAGATGAAGAGGAACTTCTGTCCCAGCCATGATGGCGGCGGATTACCTGAGATGGGTCAGACCAACCATGAACAAGGAGAAAATCCAGATCAGGAAGAACCAGAAACCTTCCTGCTGAGGTCCATAAAGGCTGGAGAGGCTTCAGGTCCAACAGGTCGGATCCTTAAAGTTCTGCTTATGAGAAACTGATTTAAATCAGCTGAGTTCAAGCATGAAACAATCAGAACCACTGGATCAAAAACCCGAGTCCGTTTTCTACCAGCTGACTGCTGCCCCCTGCTGGCTGGGGATTAATACTGCTTTAGTCCTGGAAGAGTGAAATTTAAAATCTCTTACTTAAACAAGCAGAAGATGCAGTTTCCATCTGAAATCTTTATGCTTCATTTGAACTAAATAAATGTTCACATTTTGTTTAATTTACCTGAATATTAAACCCAGTTAAAGCAGCAAAAGAAACATACAATGGCTGGTAATGTTCCAGAATAAGCAGTAAAATGACTGATATAATCATAGAAGAAACAAACTGAATGTTACAATTTTTATTTGATTTTATGCAGGAATATCTCACTCAACCATCAGACTAACATAGAAAATTTCACATTTTCCTGATAAAAATGTACTTAGAGGTTTTGGTTTATGTTCAACAACTAAAATCAGACAAACTGCCTAAATTAAACATGTTTAAAAAAAATTGTGTGGAAAATGAGATGTGGGAAAATCCAGAATACAGCTAATTCTGGAAGTCAATTCAATTTCTGTAGCTTGATTAATAAAAGAATCAACCTGAAGAAGGTTAGATCTCAGTAATGGGATGTTTTCTCTTAACATCCAGTTACTTCAGAAAATTTTAAAGACTTTCAAATTTGCAGTTTGATTTTCTTTATCTCTTTGTAATCATATGTTTACATGGAGAATTGTTCCTCTTTAGTGCGTTTACTTTTTGTTTTACTCTGAAGTTCATATTTTTATGATCTACTTGTTAAAAAAATTATTTGTTCATTCTGGAAAATTGTTTTTTTTTATGACATAATGTAAAAAATCTTTGTTTTTTCTATGTTTGGTAAATAGAAAAAAGAGTTTTTTTGAAGCTTCAACAAATTCCCATATTTTACTTTCTGACTTTTCTCCTCCCACTTCCTGGACATTAACCAATGAGTGACTAGTAAAAAAATATCCTCATATTCTACATCACTTCCTTTGATAAAATATGAGTTACTTAAATAAAACAAAATATATGTTAAAGATTTTATTTACATTTAAAAAGGAAGCAAAAACACATTTAAAGCTTCTTATCTCAAACAGCTTTTTAACTCATTTATAATGGATTTAATACAGAATATAATACGGTTCAAAATTACTATTCATATGCAGATAACTCAAAGCAAAATATCCTTTAGTTCTGGCTAACAGTTAAAATGAAGCTTTTTAATGAACCATCATGGATGTGATGAAGCTCAGTGCAGTGCGGCGGCAGCAGAACGTTCTCCATCATTTTCATAATCCACTGTGTCGTCATCAGCAGCAAAACGAACCTGAGATACAAGCAGAGATTAACTGGATGAAACTGATACAGACACTAAATGAACATCCATCTATTTTCTAACAGCCACTCTACATATAAAAGGTCTATGAATGTATTCATCATGATTGTTTCTCTTACTTTAATGTCTTTCTGAGGCTTTTTTCTTCCTGCAGTGAAAAACAGAATAAAGTGATTAAAGTGTGTAAATTGTCTCCATGGTAGCCGAGTTTCCTCACCTCTGGTTCTGATGATACCAACAGTGCGTCCAACCATCAGGATCAGTCCTGTGATCTTCAGAGTCAACATGATGAAGCTCAGAGGAGACGAGGCGGGGGGGCCTGAGGAGGAGACGGAGCAGCAACCTGATTGGATCATTTTCATCTGGTTTAGGAAGGAAATAGTTTCAACATGATGGTGGACTGAACATCAATCTGAGAGTCTGAGACTTTGGATCCACATTCAGAACCAGGAGAACCTGAACCACCATGATGGAGAAGAAAACTGGAGATCTACATAGAAACTGAGGTGTGGAAAGTTTCATTGCAACATTTTAACTTCTTCATAAAAATCAGACATCATACCTTCATGTTGGTAGTGAGCTTCTACCTTCACTTCGTTTCCTTCAACAAACTGGCAGGTGAATCTTCTGCTGCTCTGAAGATTCACAGTGAGACGAGAAACACAACCAAACTGTCCTCCTGATTTATATCCATCACCTTCACCAGTCAGTTCACTTCCTGTCTCGTTCAACCAGAGGAGACTTTTAACTGGACAGGAACTAAACTCTCTGAATCTCACCAGAGAACAGATTAATGTTATTTTTCCATTCTTTGTTGGATCAGCAGCTGGTGGAGATGAAGAGACTGAAAGAAAACAAGACAATTACATGTATTTACTAAACCAACTAATATTAACATTTTAACGCTGTTCTGTGGAAACATTGCAGACTAACTACTCACTGATCAGCAGATTTAGATGAACATCTGTGTTATAACTGCATCTGTAACGTCCAACATCATCAGCATTGATGTTGTTGATGATCAGAGAACAGTTTCTGTCCAAACTCATCCTGGCAGAACGAGGTGAACTCTGAACGATTCCTCTATGAACTTCCTGCTGAATGTTAATGTTTTCATTTCTCTTATGAAACCAGTCAACAGAGGAACATGAGTCGGATGATGAAGGTCTGTTACAGGGTAGAACAGCTTCATCTCCTCCTCTGTAGTACATATCAACTGGTTCTCCTCTGTTAACTGCAGGAAAAGACATTCAGAAAAATATTTAACATTTTGTGCTCTTCTGTCTGTATTCACTTGAAATATAGAATTTGTTTAAAAATACAAAAATGTAAAATACACTTTTGACAATTATTTAATGAAAGAATAAATGAGTGGTCAACAATTGAAACCACAGATTTTTCTTTTCAAGCTGAGCAAATAAAAATGCTTTTATTTATACTTTGACTACTTTGTGTCCTGTTACGACTCTAAAACATGCTAAAACTTTTCAGCAAGTTTGAAAAAGATGACAAAAGATTTTTTTTAAAAAAACAAGAAAGACAAAAAATTGCATAGCAAAATAAAAATGCAAAAGAATTGACAGTTATTTATGATTAATAATTCAAAAGTAAGTGAAGGAAAAACTCCAAATCTGAAATATCTTTGGTTATCACTTTGTTTTCACATATTTTTCTGTTATTATGAACATAAATGCCACTTAGTCCCCCTGCATGTAAAACACTGGCTTTAGTTTTATAGTGATAAAGTTGTTCTCTGTTTTCATAGAGATTGTTTCAGTCATCTTCAGCTGGAGGCGAATAAACCGAATGAAAAATGAAAATTAATCTGAGAAACTTTCAGTAGAGTGTTAAAGGGTTAAAGGTTATTAAATAAATAGCAGCAAGAGAAGATTATGATAAAACTTTAGATGTCTTTAGTCATCTTGAAAATAAATTATTCAGTTTTTTGATCAAACATTGATCCACCATAAGAGACAAACTGATTAAATCTAAACATCCACAGCACAACGTTCACTCTGACGAGCGACTTCCTGACGTCATCACAGCTTGGCCCCGCCCCCAGATCAGACAGGAAGTAGGAGGAACGCAGCAGATGATGACAGGTAACAGAGTTAAATCATTCAGGTCTAAATACTCACCGGTTAAAACATTCAGATACACAAAACCATCTGAGGAGGATCCAGATCTACAGATGTAGAGTCCAGAGTCTCCAGGATCGATGTCGTGGATGGTCAGAGAGCAGCTGCTGTCCATATTCAACCTGTAACCTTGAGATGAACTCTGAACAACTTTCCCATTCCAAACCTCCTGCTGAGTATTTTGGGTTTTATTTCTGTTGTAAAACCAGGTAACATCGGAGCAGGAGGAGGAGAACGATGAACTGTTACAAGGTAGAACAACATCTTCTCCAGCTCTCTGATAGAGATGAAGTTCTCCTCCTCTGGTTCCTGCAGCAGAAACAAAGACACATTAAAGTTTCACACAATTTATCCTTCACAAAACTGTGAAAGCCTGTACCTCTTTATTTATGTTACATCATGTTTGAGTTATTGTTGTACATGACTTTTTATTGACACCTAAGACATGTTTATAAAAACAGCAATTAAAGTTTTAATCTCTGTCAGACTGGAAGTTTGAGACAAAGAAAATATATTGGATTCAAATGTTTTGACATTTTTTTGTGTATCTGGTCAAAACCTGATTGACTAATATATAAAATAATTTACCTCTGAATATTAATTCTCATATTTCCATAAAATATCACAGTTAGTCAAAGTTTCCTTTAATTTTTCTCATCTTCATGTGAAAGAAAACAAATTTTTACCTTCAAACTGAAGAACGACCAGAACCAGAACCAGAACCAACATCTCCTGTCTGTCCATCAGCTGCTGAAAACTGAGAATTTTCTCTGATACAGATCTGAAAACACTGAATGTATTTCCTCTTTGCTCTTATCACACTTTCTGGTCACTGACAGAAAACCAGAAAAAGAAGCAACAAATTGCATAACTTCATATAGAAATGATCAGACAAACTTCATTTAACTTATTAACTTTGTAACTCTGAGAGTCTCAGCTGAAGGATCTGCGAGTAAAGAACATTAAATATCAGACTAAAGTTTTATTCTTTAATTGTATTTTTTATACAATTAAAGAAGCCCTTTGCTTCATGCATATTAATGAGCTGCAGTCGGTCCACTAACAGCAGCAGACAGAGCAGATAAACCGAGTCAGAACAGAATCCACAGTGAATCTCTTACATCAGAGACTGCAGACAAATTTGTCCTGTGAGAAACTTTCTAATGTCTCCTAGAGCTGGACGCTGGGAAACAGCCCAGATCTTCACCTTCAAACTGAAGCACAACGCCCAGAACCAGAACCAGAACCAACATCTCCTGTCTGTCCATCAGCTGCTGTGAGAATTTTCTCTGCTGCTGATCTGAAAACACTGATCATATTTCCTCTTTGCAGTGTATCCTGTTATTTTGCTGTTTTCTGTCACTTCATCGAACTGGTAGAAAACCACAAAATGAAGCAAGCAGTTGCATACTTTCTGGGGAATGAACAGTTAAACTACATTTAAGTCACTTTGTTACACTGATGTTTTAACTGAAGAATCTGCTGGTGAAGGACAGAAAATAGAAGAATAATTAAGGTTATCTATTGTTCTGTAATCAAATGTTTTGTACAACCTTGTAATATCTTTTGCATGAAAAATTCAAGATAACCTGCTATGCATAAAATAGAGCTGCAGTCGGTCCACTAACAGCAGCAGACAGAGCAGATAAACCGAGTCAGAACAGAATCCACAGTGAATCTCTTACAGCAGAGGCTGCAGACAAATTTGTCCTGTGAGAAACTTTCTAATGTCTCCTAGAGCTGGACGCTGGGAAACAGCCCAATCACTGCTGATACTACAACTCCCAGAATGCTCTGCTGCTCAGTCGGCCATCTGTAAGCCTCCTGTTCTGTGGACATTAAATGTGACCTGATGCTCCAACCAGTCAGATCAGTAGAAGAAGAAATGCCAGCTGTCTGGACCAGAGTCCATCAGAGTAGATCAGAGAATCAAACTGAGCTTTAATGATTGTTTCCTTTATCAACGTTTTGATACTTTAACATCTGGACATTGACTAAATTATTATTGTTATTAGAGGCAAAACAGTTTTTGTCTGGTTGAAGATATTAATGCCACAGACAGTTTTGGTCATTTGATGTGTCCTTTAAAGTGATTTAGAAGTTTTATTTGGATCAGATCTGCATTGGTGTTATAACTGAGTCGCCTGCATCTGATTGGCTGTTCAGCATCGTTATGGCGTGTATGAGGCTCTGATACAGCAGCTTAGTGCTGCGTCACGAGTCTCTGTTATCTGATGAAGTAAAAATAGATCAGAAACATATCGATGCAGCACCATGAAGGCCTCAGATTCCTGTTTGAAGCAGTTCAGAGATCAATAAAACCTCTAAACTCAACATGAAATGAATAACTAATAAATGTGTCGTACAAATACTTCTTATTATCAGAGCACCAGCTGCTTCATGTTCCCAGCTCTCAGTGTTATGACTGTGATCAGCAAACAGACTGAATAAACTTCAATGCTGAAGATTTATCATGTCACCATAACACACACCGGCTTATTTCTAAGTCAAAATATTAACTTAGAAACAACCAAACAATGCAAAGGTTTAAAGATGTTTAGAGCTTAAATCTTTATGATGTTATGTTACTTTTAAGCAAATGTAATTAATTATAGTCCATATTACTTCATATAATAAGCTCACACAGTTTTCCATCTGTTCTCTGGACAAGCATCACTTGTGTACATGAATAAACCTTGAAGCTGATCTTCACTGCCATAATTTACAGATGTGGATTCCAGGATATTTAACACCAGGAGAGGGAGAAAAATTAGCTGATGGCAGCATCATGCCAGGGGATGCCCTCCTGCAGGAAGGTATCACAGCTACACAGAAAGCCAGACCAGGTGCAACAACAGCAGAGTGAACACAAAAAGTTACAATGAAATGAGAGCAACTGTTGCAAATAGAGGAGCAGCAGAAGAAAATGGTCAGTTTGTCCTCCAGTCTCTTCAGACGAGACGGATTCTGTCTTTGCTCCTCTGTCCAAAATAAGACACAGAACAACAGAAACAATGAGAGCAAAAGTTTCAGAAGGAAAACCTGAAGGCCCCAAACCAGCACAGCGCCAGATGAGGATGGAAGCGACTGAACATCAGGAGCTCACTGGTCCAAAACATGTTTGATAAGGAGAAACAAAACAACACTTTTTACTTCCTGTTCCTTCTCTTCTCTCCTCCCACTTTCTGGACATCAACCAATGAGTGATCAGCAAATCCCTCATGCTTTACACCACTTCCTTTGATAAAGCAGGAGTTCTTTGAAATACGACAAAATATGTGATAAATCTTTTATTTACACCAAACAGGAAGCAAACAACACATTTAAAGCATCTTATCCCAAACTATTCTAGACCAAACAATCAGCTTTTACCTTATCTATGATGTTTTTAATACATGAAGCACAGTAAATTTAACACAATTAAAATTACTATTCATATGCAGATAACTCAAAGCAAAAAATCCTTTAGTTCTGGCTAACAGTTAAAATGAAGCTTTTAATGAATCATCATGGATGTGATGAAGCTCAGTGCAGTGCGGCGGCAGCAGAACGTTCTCCATCATTTTCAAAGCTCACTGTGTCGTCATCAGCAGCAAAACGAACCTGAGATACAAGCAGAGATTAACTGGATGAAACTGATACAGACACTAAATGAACATCCATCTATTTTCTAACAGCCACTCTACATATAAAAGG